CAGTTGGAGACATTCTACCTCTTGGTTACGCCTCATCAATATGCTGCTCAGTGTGATGGGTGGTACGTTCCTCGTATCGGACAGGGACAGGGGGGAGGTGGATGGGAGTCTCTTCACTCAAAGATGCACGGCGTCTGTGATGTAGTAATCGTATAGGCCGTGCCCTTCGGTTCGGTTCGGTTTGGATTGGTTCAGATTAGCTCAGTTCGGTTCTGTTCGGTTCGGTTGGGTTCGGTTTCTGGCGGTCTCAGTGCACATTATAGACGCCTGCCTCAAACCTATCGCCCGACTTAAAGCCTTGAAAACAAACGCGTTTGTTTTGGGGTTCATCGTCGGGCTTTAAAAAAATTCTCAATTTGAAGAAGACGGTGACCATCAGTTTTGAGTTACAGAGAGTTATATCGACACAATGAGACCATAATTTAGAAAAAGCAGCCAAGCATCAAATCAGAGAAGGGCTAGCGAAATAGAACCTACCTGTCTATCTTATCCTCCGGCCGCTCACCCAGCTGGCGGTAAAACCCTTTTATAATAGTACATGTGTTATGTTTCCTGATAGTGCAATTACAACGTCATAATTTGACAAAAAGAGAAGCAAAATAATATTATCAGCACGATAACGGCCATGGATCTGTACAAGGAATTATGATGACATTACTTCAAGCTCAGTTATAATTGCCCCTGACTGTACTTCTCTCACCCCCAGTGACCACTGCATATTCAACGGTTTCCTGGTGGTCACCTGTTACGTCTCCTCTCTGTTCACGCTGGCTGGGATCTCCTTCAACCGTTACATTCGGGTGTGCCACAACTCTCTTTACCAAAAGTAAGCTGTTGTTGTTGTTGTTATTGTTGTTGTTGTTGTGTTGTTGTTGTATATCCTCTGAACGACAATGAAAAAACTCCACACAAAATGTTTACGAAGAATTTTATGAAACAAAATGGAATGAAATTATTACAAACCATGAAGTGTTGGAAAGAACTTGAATTGAAGATATCAACACGACCATAAAAAGGAGAAGATGGAGGTATTTGACCAAACATACCATCCTTGGCGGGGTGTGGCTGGTGACCATTGCATTTGAGGTATTCACCAAACAACATCAATATTTTATAATTAAACAACATGTGGCACGACGTGATGGAATCAGGCACTCGTAAATTTTTTGGGCACGTAGGGTTATTGGTATCATCTTAAAGGCAGTTAATTTGCCTTGCTTTGGTGGAAAATATATCAATCTATGTTGAATAGAAGTAAAGATATTAGTGATTAATGGAGGTGGATGTCGCCTTCTTTCAGAGGCAAAATTTAGCGACAAAAATGGCCGTCAAAGTTTGGTAATTTTCATAGCTTGAGAGTCCTTGGAAACTGAAAATTTGCAGTTTTTGTGCCTTTAATCAACGTTTTTGAGTAATATGAACACGGAAATGTGTTTTTAAATTGACACAAAAGGTGTGGGGCCAAATAAGAAAATGAGAAGAATTTCCCAATAAGCCAGAAAAATGCCAGTATTTTTTTATTTCATTATTTTGACGAGCGCCTGATTTCACCACGATGCCTCACATATGGTCTGGTGTTGTTTCTGGTATGCTAATAACCAAACAGACTGACTGGGCTTATGAGTGGGGGTTTGCTGATACTTATTGCATTTGTGGTATTTTAGTATTTCATCAAGCATGATTAATATTGTATTATGTTTAAACAGCAGCAGCAATAACAACAACAACGACGACGACAACAACAACAACAACAACAACAACAACAACAACAACAACAACAACAACAACAACAACAACAACCCAAATAAACAAAAACATCACCACCATCTTCGACACCACTGCCGCCACCAGCACCAGCACCAGCACCAGCACCAACAACAACATCATCATCAACAACAACAACAACCACAACAACCCCCCCCCCCGACCACCACCACCGCCACCATTACCAACAACAACAAGATAATGTGTCAATACAGGAACCTGGCCACCTGCTATTTCACCAAACATATTATTGATGTTCTTTTTGATAACACGTTTTGGCACTATTTCAGGTACATGACTAAACGGATCAACTGTGGCTTTTGCACATTGCATCCTTAATGTTTCACCAAGCACAATAACATCTTAAGAAACAATAACCACATTTTGATTTCATTTCAGATATATATGACTATGAGTACCCTCGGCTTATGTTCGGAGTGTGATTGGTATCTATTGCATTCCTACAATTTTCCCCAAACATTAATTTTCAGTGTCACATATAAAATAACATTATTTCTGACGATACAAGAAATACATCTTTTTGTAATTCCAGCTATATGACCAAACGCACTACGCTTGGCTTGTGTGCGGGGGTATGGCTCGTGTCAGGCTCGGTGGGAGCCGCCCCCCTGTTGGGCTGGGGCCACTACGCCTATGACGTGAAGACCCACTACTGTGGCTACGACAGGACGGCCAGTATCAGCTACACGGCCCTCATATCTGTCGGGACGATCGCCCTGCCAGCAACTGCTGTCTGCTACTTTAATTTTTCCATATTCAGGTTGGTTGGCTTCTATAATTGTAAGATGCTACCTCAAACCCCCACACACACACAATCTCCCTATCATGCGGTATAACTTGGATGATTTTGAGGCGTGATGGTGTTTGATACTTCCTTTCAGAGCCGAAACGGGCTAAGTGGGATACAATACCCTGGAACACAGACTGAGATACTCAATTTAAAAAAAAAAAGAAAGAAAAATGTTCCTCATTCAAGAATCGAACTCATAGTCTGTGTGCGACGGCAAAAAGCATATGTGTGTCGTTGTGTCTGTCTGTCTTAATTCCTTTCCCCTTTCCGCCACCCAATTACACTGACCGCCTCCCCCTCTCCCACACAAACCCTGGCCCTGGGGATAGTCCAAATCTGAAATACCACCACACCCAGAGTCAAAGATGCTTCTTTGAATGTTTCTGAGTTCAGAGATTGTCAAACAAGTAATTTATTATTAATAAAAGGCTATTGCACACACGCACACGTGTGTGTGTGTGTGTGTGTGTGTGTGTGTGTGTGTGTGTGTGTGTGTGTGAGAGAGAGAGAGAGAGGGTGTGTATGTGTGTGAGTGTGTGTGTGTGTGTGTGTGTGTGTGTGTGTGTGTGTGAGTGTGTGTGTGTGTGTGTGTGTGTGTGTGTCCTCATTTTGTCTTACTTTAGCTTCCTGCTACACAATGGTAAGACCAAAGAAGAAATTATATGCATGTAGAAAAGAAAGAAAAGGAGAAGCAAAAGATAATAAATATCACATACTTATGAACAAAAGATGCGCAGGATTAGGGGGCGGGGGCGGGGTACCTGAAATATGTAATGCAATAATAATTGCAGAGAACTTTTTTTAAAGAGAGAAAAACGTAATCAGTTCAACATTTACAACACACCGTTCTTGTCTCCAAATCTATTTTGATTCGTATTTCGAGATAAATTTGTTGTTCTCAGGTACGTGAAAGCCGCCAATATGAAGCTCGAGCGATGGAAACAGAGCCAAAAGTCGACCTCCACCACGGAAGAAAGTGATGGTTTCTCCGTCGGACATGACAGCGGCTACAGTGCGACAAAAATCGAGAAAAGTCGAAACTGTACTCAAACTGACGAAACAGCTACTGCTGGGGATGGTACTTCGGACAAGTCACTCAGGGGAGGAGAAGGTTGTCATGGTGAAGTGCGGCGGGGTAGTGCGCGTCATGGCGCGCACAGAAAACTCAAACCAGTTCGAATACAGGACGATATAGAGTCCACAGACTCGGACGAAGGTGATTCAGCAGCTGAGTGTTTGGGTTCTCATTCTAGAACGTTAGGAAACTCCAGTCAAGAAAAATCAGAATCACTGTCCCGGCAACAAAAAAGTCAGCCGCGATGTTCTTTTGAACTGGCTGAAATAATATCACATGATTTGATAATAGGGAACTCACTGAGCACATACAACCGTCTCAACAGCAGCGATACAACGAGGGATAATATTGAAGTCAAATGTGTCGAAGAGCATCAGTCTAAAGCTGCTACAGCAGCAAGCGTGAGAGAGGCTGAAGACGCTGAGAGCAGGCTACAGAGTGACATTGACAAGAAGAACTTCGTTGCTCATGAAAAGTTTCAAAATGAAACTGTTGTTGAAAATAATATTAACAATTCTACAAAGTTCACACATGAGAACTCTTGTGAAAGTAGTGACGTGAGACACAGAGACGTCGGGCCTCGGTTGAACACGATAAATGTCCGCCCAGTAAATACTGGAGACTCAGACGACAGCGGACTGGAAAAACCCGAAATCGACTGTTCTGAGAGACAGTCTGAAATCAAAGAAATTGAACATGTCGAGAAACGTGATACAAACACGTCCATCGATACATCGCATAAAATTAACTCAAAGAATGATGATATGGAGACTATACATATAAACGACGAAGAGCAAGGAGGTTTGCAGGGCAGGAAAAAAGAAATTGACCCAGCTGAGGGATTATCGTCATTGCAAGGGGGTAAGGTCTCCCCACGTAGACCCAAAATGATGGGAACAGTGAGGAGTAGGGACCGGAGTCAGCTTTTAGCCAGTGGTGCTCGCAGACCTCGAACGCTCAAAATTATCTCCCCCTGGTCACGCAAACAAAAACGAATCAACGAACTGCTGGATACGTCGGGGACTTCCACAAGCCAGGGACATAACCGTCAAATCGAGATCCAAACGACCCAGAGCTTGGGGTCCAGAAGACATTTGGACGTGCCCAGGACTCATCCGAAAAGACCTGTCTCCAAGCGTGAGCTGAACATGATCAAAACGCTATTCCTCGTGTTCGTTTGTTTGTCAGTTTTCATGTCGCCTTACATGGTCTCCGTCATTTTGGATACGGAGAACAAGTGGCCAGCCTACATCCATCTCAGTTGTTCGGAAATTGCTGTAGTGAACAACGCCGTGAATTGGATACTATACGGACTCATGAACAGGAACTTTCGTGCTGGTTACAGAAGTGTTCTCTCTTGGCTTTGCCCAATTAGAACTCGGTTTGTCACTCTGAACCTTTCGAAAGATTGAAAGTACCGCCAGTACAATACAGCTTTTCAAAAGTAAAGTTTATTTTATTTCGCACTTTATTGTGTGCACCTTCGTGACAGAATCAGAGCAGGTAACATCTGGGATAGAAAACTTTGTACGCCGTAGGATACCCGGCTGAGAGAGAAGGAACATTCGAGAACAGGCGAGAACGATTCAGACCTCACTAAGATTTAACCCCCTGACATGGCGTTGGTGGCCTGGTGGCTAGGCTCTCGGACTTGCAAACGTAAGGTTGTGGGTTCCAATCCAGTCAGGAGCCCTACGATGTCTCCTTGGGAAAGGCACTTTCCACAAATGTCCTCACTTCACCGAGGTGGGAATAGGTAACCAGCTATGGACAGTGAAAGATCTTATTAGTTTGTTAATATTTGAGCTCGTGTAATCCACAGCTGAGACTGTATGTTTCCCGGGAAGCCGGGAATGTTTCTGAATATTTTAATTTTAGTTTCTGTTGAAGGTAAAAATAGATTGTAAAACGAACAGACCATGCTGTAGAGCGGTGATATGCGCTATATAAACACACTTATTATTATTATTATTATTATTATTATTATTATTATTATTATTATTATTATTATTATTATTATTATTATTATTATCATTATTATTATTATTATTATTATTATTATTATTATTATTATTATTATTATTATTATTATTATTGTTATTATTATTATTATTATTATTATTATCAGGGATGGTTCTTTCACTGTGCAAGACAGGCAGCGCCGGTTACTTTTTGTCAGCTGGACATTAGATGAGTGGTTGACTGCTGACAATAATTTTTTTTTAGTATCAAGTACATAAATATTAATCAACGTTCAGAAAGCACTCGGTCGAGTTGAAGGCGCTATGAGAGACAATAGGGGTTCACTAGCGTGTTGTACAGCAGAGACTCGTTCCTTAATCTTCGTTTATCAATGGTCTGCAAGCCTTCCCGGCCAATTCAGCTTTTGCCCTAAAAGCTGGAGGGAAGGCTTCTAATTGCCAATTTTCCTCTCTGTTTCACAACAAAGGAAGGATACGTCTGCAGTACAAATACATATTATTTTATATAATTTCATCAGTTACATTTATCTTTCAATCTGCCTCTTATTATTACCTGTACATCTATTTCCAGCTTATTTGCAATCTTTAATGCCCAATTAAGTTTAAGCTAGCCATGATTCTGAATCATCACCTACTTTACATGGTCAAGGGCTATGACGCGAACCGCCCAGTTGAAAAAAAAACCGGGATTTAAATAAGGAGACAGGAGCGCCTCGTTCGGCTGTCAAGACTCTGGCCTAAAACAGTACACCCCTCCCTTTCCCCTTCCCTTTTACACCTTCACCCCAGCTGCTAGACTATACTTTCTATACTTAGCTTTGAACACAGTGCCCCACAAAGAAATAGAGCAGGGTTCTGAGAACTGAGGAGAGCAATGAAGAGAACTTTTCAATACGATCCCAAATTGCTGTGAGCTAAATCTGTTCAATGTTCGTGTGGGTGTGCGTTTAGTGCAGTGTGCAGTACTGGTTCTAGATCTACACTTGCTTTGCCTGGGACAGCGTCATTGGTAAGGTATCAATTAACAGTACTCGGGTTTCATATTTTTACATGACGAGTGAAGGTCGATACAGAATGTAAGTAAGTCGTTGGGTAACGTAGGCCTACAGGTGGCAGGGCTAAGAGGTGGTTGCTTCTCACTTTCTTTTTGTGTTTTTTTTTAGTACACTGCAGTATTCCTTATTCCGTGTTGATCAAGTCGGTTTCTATCCTTATATCAGTGGCTGTAATCAATGGCTTGAAGCTCAGATTTACATTAAAAAGTTTGTAACGGCGTGATTTTTCTTCTACTAAATCCTTTCATACATTACCCCCCC